CAACTCTGTTAGGCATCTGTTTATGAATTCTATTTAAAAAAGTATGTACACAAAAGGCTTATCTTATCATAACTCTCATTGTGTCAGCAAACAAATAGTTTGAATCCATTTCTTTGTTTCAGACACATTGGTCTGTCTGCTGTGTCAATTCCGGAGAATCGAACCCCGGATTTTAGTCTTGTAAGTTCGTAAACTTCTTGCTATCTCATCGGAGGATTTCAATTTGTTCTTGTGCAGAGGACACTCTCCAGTGTCCTCACAAGAGAGGAGACTGGAGGACGCCAAAACTAGTGTACAAAATTATGGTAATATCTTCCATTTTTAAAATGATCATAATGCCGTATTTGACCTCCGTATCCTTTGCATATCCATAACTCCAACATATATCTGCTTTAACTTCTTTCAAATTGACGCCATTGTTGTTGTTTCTTTTTCTAAATGATATATTTTCTAGTGTTCGTGTAACATTTATTGTTTCCACTTATAATTCACTCACAAACACGAATTTTGGTTTTACAAGCCCCCCAGATTTACCTCTCAGCCACCGGAGAGGGGGATCGTTGGATCGGTAACTTAATTTTAGGGTCCATTAAAAAAAACAACAAGAGATCTCTCCAAAACGTTTCTTTTCTGTCCAGATAATCAAACAATGGGCTATCTTTTCCGCGCTTTTAACCGTAGTAGGTTTACTTTAAGTTGCGTTTATACAATTCAAGACCTCCTCATTTTTGGACAGTTTCGTGAAAAAAAAAAATGGATTGAAATGAAATTACATACTTCAGGATTCTATTAATGTTCACAACAAATAATACGGTCAGAAAATACGGGCCTAGTTAAACAAAACAATTAACAAAGAAGTGAACAAATAAATGTGAAACCTGAGATGACGAAACTGGGAAAACTCCTTTTAAAATTACGTTCACAGCCTACTAGTGTACTTTGAAAACATTTCAAAGTCCCTGAGATGTGGTTTAATTTATTCTCATCCAAAACTGGTTTAATAAATGTGTGACCTTAAACCAACTACATTTCAACTAGACGCCGAAAACCACTAAC